AGGAAGGAAGGAAGGAAGGAAGGAAGGAAGGAAGGAAGGAAGGAAGGAAAGAGAAGAGAAAAGGGTCCGTGTTGAGGGTCACTATTAGGCACTTTCTGAAAAGTCATCAGGAATTTTAAAAAAGACAAATTAAACCTCCTCCCCCTCCGAGAAGATTTCCTTGGCCTTCTTACCTCTCGCTGCCTCGGCCAACGCCAAGCTCCCCAGAAGCAGCAGCAGCACAATCCGGGTTCCCATGTTGATCGCCCTTCCCAGTTGACTCTCCAACGCCTGGAAGTGAAGAGACACCAACCTTGAACCCAGAGCCTCATCAGCTCCAAACCCAACAGCGAGAAGGGGAAGCAAAAGGCTGCAGACGGACTTTGAAGCCAGGAATCCCCGGGGAAGCCGTTGGCAGAAGTCCCCTCCGTGGCGGGGGAGATTTCGGTCCCTTCTAGGCGAACCGGGTCTCACCTGCGGCGAACCTCAATCCAGAAACGGGGCGCGGAGGGGGGGGGAACGGAGGGGGGGCAGGTCTGTATGGCCGGATCAGGCCACCCACCGACTTTTTCTCCCTTGGCCTGCAAAGGAGGCGGGCTGGAGACCCCCGAAGGCTTCCCGCAGCCTCGACGGGCAAGAGAGGCGCGGGGAGCCTGAGTCGCAGGTAGACTGCACCTGCCCGTGACGTTCTTTCTCCCCAGGCTCCCCCTGGAAGAGGCTCCGCTGGCCCCCTCCCCTTGTCTGCCCTCGGGACACCCAACAACTCATGTAAACGTCAAGCGAGGCGAAGAGCAATTACGCCCAGCCATTAGCCGACAAATTGGAGCCCCCGCGGCTGGGTTGGGGGCCCGCGCGGGCGGAGGGGAGGGGACCCGCTCGGGAAAGGGGGCATCCCAGGCGCCCATCCCCGCGGAACCAACGGCGACCGGAGCGAACCTGCCCGCCAAGACCACAGCGCAGCCTTTGTCTCCAAAGCGGCTTCGCTCCGCTCGCCCTGAGCGCAGGAACCGCTCGGCCGCCCCGGCTCCGCGCACCGAGTCCCAGCAGCCCCGCAAGGTAGCAGCCGCCCGGCTCCCGAACTTGGCCGCCCGCGCAGCTCTTGGCGCCCGGCTCGGCGCTCGCCCGAACAAAGCTCAGCGCCTGGAACCGCTCCAGCCCCACGGCCGCCGCAGCAGCAGCCGCGCCGAAGCGAAAGACGGCCGGCCCCGAATCGCCAGCCTCGAAGTCCCGGGCAGGAGCCTCCGCGAAAGGGATGCGGAGGGAAGGAAGGAGAAAGAGAAAAGAAAGGAGGGAGGGGAAGGAAGGAAGCAAGGAAGGAAGGAAGGAAGGAAGGAAGGAAGGAANTACTCAATACTCAATACTCAATACTCAAAGCTTACTTCACGGGGGGGTGTTTTTGAACCCATCGCCACTCCGGTTTTAAAAAACCAGGGCAAAACCTGGCTATTCAACCCTCCAAAACCCAAACCAGCTCAGCTGGACATTTTCTTCCTGTCGTCCCAGAAGCAGAAAAAAGCTCTTTTTAAATCAGTTTTATGGGCTGGAGCCTCTGCCCGCTTTTCTCCTTTCAGAAAACTCCTCGCACATCCTCTGAACCGAATGGCAGAGTCCAGGCAGCCCAGCCCTGCAGATTGTGCCAGGGACATAAAACACGATTTACGATGCTGCAGGAAATGTCTTCAGATCTACGAGGTCCGACAGGGATTTGAACGGAGGGGCACAGTTTAGTAACACTCCGAAATGGAAGGTTAAGTACTTTCTAACGCCCCACACATTCCAGAAATGCTCGGAGAACTTGTTTTATTGTTCTGCGGGGGCAGGCAGGAGGACCCTATCAACAATTGTTTCGATTCAGCCTTGTTATTTTAACTGCAAAGGAGATATTATCTTCACACGGGACCCTCTCGCACAATTACTGAACCACATCCGACGAGACCATTTAGCCCCGATTGAGTTCCAAGTGCTTTTTACACACACATTTCAACCAAAGAACAAGAGCGGAAATTCCAGAGAGAGATACCTTTCCTGAAATGCACCCCCCAAAAAAGGAGGTAAATTAATTAGGACTATTATTATAATCACAATAATAGGCTAAACTATTTCTTTTATACTAAATGTGCGGAAGGACAACAACGGAAGGAGGGAGGAAGAGGAGGGAAAAGAAGAAAGGGGAAAGGAGAGGAAGTAAGGGAGGGAAAGCAAGTGTAGGAAAGAGGGGAAGGAGGAGAGAAAGAGAGGAGGGGGAAAGAGAGGGGAAGAAGAAAAGAGGAAGGAGAGGAGGAAAGAAGAAGGTAGAGGAGGGATGTTGGGAAGAAGGAAAGAGTACAGTTGTTGCAAAAATAAGATGGATATATGGGGAGGCAAGAAAGTGACCCCCGATTATGCTTTTTATATTTTTAAGAAGATTGTGATAAATGTTAGAAATTAATGGATAAATGTTAATAGTATCTAAAAGAATGTATATTTGTGAATGTACCGTATATGGAAAAGGAAAAAAATAAAACTTTTTTTAAAAAAATATGCGGGTTTTTCTCTCTCTTTCCTTTCAATAAGAGACTGCAGAAGTCCAGAAGTCACAGAAAGTTTGCAAAAGAGAACGTCCATTTGAGTGGTGGAAGATTTAGGACAGTGTTTCTCAACCTTGTCAACTTGAAGATGTCTGGACTTCAACTCCCAGAATTCCCCAGCCAGCGAATGCTGGCTGGGGAATTCTGGGAGTTGNTGCAACCGTTCTTCCTATGTTTTAGCCTCCAGTCCCCCAATCCTCTTTGTTGCTCTTCTGTCTCCGTACATTGCTGCATCTCCAAGATGACATTAACAATTTATCCTCCTCTCCCCGCTGCCTCCCACCCTCTACGGCTAGCAATCAAATAGGAAATCCAATAGCACTCTTAATTTTGACTCCCTTCTTAATCCCCGCTGGTTCACACTGGTTTACGGTGATTGTAAATGATTTCAAACCCCCATAATTTAAGAGAGCCTCCTGAAAACTCATGTAAGGAATTTGAGGTTTCGTTTACAACGCTGCCATTACTATGTTTCCAAGGGACAATAAGGGGCACAAATATTTCACTTCCATCTTGATGCACATTGCTAAGGCTCGTACAACGTGTCCTGCTTTGTCTGGGGGGAAAAGTGTTACTCGGTGGAAGGATAAGCGATTTGCAAGCTTTTAAAAATTTGACAGAACGCAAGAAGCAAAGGTTTACGATCATTAAATCTGCTTCAATGCCTTGGCTTAAAGAGAAGCAGACAGATGGACTGATTTATTTCCCTTAGTTGGGACTACAACTGGAATACTTGCATAGTCCGGTTATTTAAAAAGAGGAGGGGGAAGCCCACCTGTTACGAGGAACAGCTGACCCATCTTGAATTTAGTTTCTGCTCCTCTACCAGAGATAAGGGAATTTAGCTGCTTTCTATGTTGAAATATTAAAAGCGTACAGATGCCTCCCCCTGTTTCTCACCCACTAGATGTAGCCACTTCATTTGGGACACAAGTCTTTAAAAATGCATTTTAAAAAAGACAAAATGTTTGACATGAGGAGAATTCTGAAATTGAAGGAGAATGCTGAATGGCCAATACCAGAAAGAAATTTCCCAGCTGTCAGGAGCAACTCATTAAGTCTATATGGTATTTCGGACGGAACATCTCTTTTAATTATTATTTAATTAAATTTCCTTATCTCCCCCTTTCCCTTCTTTGAGTTGTGAGCCTCCCTGAGTCCCCTTAGGGAAAAGGGCGGCATACAAATGAAATAAAACTCTAAAAACTCTAAACTCTATACTTCAGATGAAGAACGGTTGCAAGATTTGGGTATGTCTAGTGTAAAGAAGGACCAGGGGTGACATGACAGCAGTCTTCCAATATCTCAGGGGCTGCCACAAAGAAGAGGGAGTCAAACTATTCTCCAAGGCACCTGAAGGCAGAACAAGAAGCAATGGGTGGAAACTAATCAAGGAGAGAAGCAATCTGGAACGAGGGAGAAATTTCTTGACAATCAACCACTGGAATGGCTTGTCTTCAAAAGTTGTAGGTACTCCATCATTGGGGAGTTTTAAGAAGACATTGGATAGCCATTTGTCTGGAATGTTATAGGGCATCTTGCTTAAACAGTGGGGTGGACTAGAAGACCTCCCAAGTGCCCTTCCAGCCCTATGATTTCTATGTGAGACCAATCTTTCAATCTCCCAATACTCACAAGATAGTTAAATGCAACT